TACATGAATTCATTGTGTACCCTTTCTGTAAGTCCAAAATACTTAAAGTTAAATATAAATAAATAAAATAAGAAACTGGCTCTCACGTAGCACAATGATACAGAACAGCTAATTTTCAAGAACCGAATAAGTAGGAAATCCCTTTATTGGTTATAGTGCCTTTTAAAGCTTATTCAGTTTAGCCTTAAAAGTTACCTGATTACAATCCAGCATGCTTCTTGCCACAAATCTGGGGTGATTTCATCATCATCCTCATCATATTGCATATCTGCAAGAAACAAAAATATTGTACTCATCTGGAATAAAAATGCTAATTAACATCTTGCTGCAAAGATGTTATCTGCTAAATAAAAAGTAATACTTTTGTCCAGCCAGTGTGGCTCAGTGGTTGAGTGTCGACCTATGAACCAGGAGGTAACGGTTTGATTCCCAGTCAGGGTACATGACCAGATTGCAGGCTCAATCCCCATTGTGGGGCACACAAGAGGCAACCAATCAATGATTCTCTCTCATCACTGATGTTTCTATCTCTCTCTCCCTTCCTCTCTGACATCAATAAAAAACTTATTTTTTTAAAAGCAATCCTTCTACCTCACTATTCTAAAATTTCAATTACATTACTTAAATTGTAATGAATAACACACATGGGTAAACATCTATGTACACATAGGTGTACATCACACAGGTATTCACCCAATATACAAAGAGGCCTCATTACAAAGGTTCAGCATAAGTGTGTGAATCTGTAAGTTTCCCATCTTCCCATTCTATTCATTAATAGAATCTATGCAGGTAACTAGGAGCAAGCTCATAGTCCTCAGAGACTGGGGTCAAAGATTAAGGTGTAGAGACAGAAAAGGGTTCCAATAGTTGAGCAATAGCTTAAGGTGGGATGGTCCATTACAGAAACATTTCACACATGTACAGGTATGACAAACTGTATTTTCCAAAGGCGGCCACAATCATATCTTCCATTTCACAAGCTTTTTTTAAAAAGATACAGGGGTCTATATTTCCTTCCCTTTATATATATGTTTGTTTTTTTATTGATTTCAGAGAGGAAGGGAGAGGAAGGGAAAGATAGTAACATCAATGATGTGAGAGAATCACTGATCAGCCACCTCATGCACATCCCCTACTGGGTATGGAGCCCACAATAAGGGTATGTGTCCCGATTAGGAATCGAACAGTGACCTCCTAATTCATAGGTCAACACTCAACCACCAAGCCACACCAGCTATGTTTCCTTCCTTTGAATCTGGGCAAACTCTCCCAAAACTAAGACAGTGCAGCTAAAACGATGTTATGTGACTTTAGAAACTAGGTCAGAAAGGCAGTGTTGTTCCGCCTTGTTTGCTGAAACACTTTCTTCTGGAGCCCTGAATTGCCATTTAGAAGTCCTAGTAATCTAAAACTGTAAACTGTGAGCCCAAATCATATGGAGAGGCTACTTACAGATGCTCCAGTCAGCGATTCAAGTCCTTGAGTCCTTCTAAGCTAAGTGCCAGGCACGTGAGTAAACACTCCAGATCATCCAGCCCCCAGCTGTCAACACCCAGCCTTTGAATCTTCCCAGGTGAACTACTGACATGGAGCAGACAAGTCATTCCTACTATGCTCTACCCAAATTCCTGACCACTTAACTCCATAAACATATTAATTTTTAGGCAGCCAAATGTTGGGGTAATTATACAGCAATTATAATTTGAATAGGGCACTTGAAAAATCAGTGTGCACTGATCCTCTAACATAACTCTCATCTTCTTATGTTTAAGAGTAAGTGTACTGTATTTTCTTTTATATTCTGAGTTCTGGATTCAGAATTGAATACATATCTAAAATAAAGTTATTTAATAAATTCTTAAATAAACTAATATTACTGATCCCTACGGTACACAAGGAGAGGGGGGTAAGAAAAAGTTTCTAGACCTAGCCAGTTTGGCTCAGTGGATAGTGTCGGCCTGCGTACTGAAGGGTCCTGGGTTTGATTCTGGTCAAGGGCCCATGCCCGGGTTGCGGGCTCAATCCCCAGTAGGGAGTGTGCGGGAAGCAGTCAGTCAGTGGTTCTCTCTCATCATTGATATTTCTATCTCTTTATCCCTCCCTTCCTCTCTGAAATCAATAAAAATATATCTTAAAACATAAAAAATAATCGAGGGACAGTGGCTACCTACTGTGAGGGAGGTTCACACTGGAAGGTGGTAGACAAGAGAGAGTCCTGACACTTTTATATTTTCTGGCTTGTGAGACACAAGAATATATTACCTACTCAAAAAAGAAAGCTAAAAAGTCTTTTCTGGATTTCTTTTCCATTGAGATAGAAGAAAGGAGAACGTCGTAATGATAATAAATTTCTAGACTCATATAAATGAGACAGAAGTTTAATCAGTAGAGTTTAAGCTTTTGTCTTTCTGTTTTCCCCATGAAGTAGCGGAGGGAATAAGAAGAAATGTGAGTGCCCTGACCGGTTTGGCTCAGTGGATAGAGCTCGGCCTGCGGACTCAAGGGTCCCGGGTTCGATCCCGGTCAGGGGCATGTACCTTGGTTGCGGGCACATCCCCAGTAGGGGATGTGCAGGAGGCAGCTGATCGATGTTTCTCTCTCATCGATGTTTCTAACTCTCTATCTCTCTCCCTTCCTCTCTGTAAAAAAATCAATAATAAATATATATAGATATAGATATAGATATAGATATAGATATAGATATAGATATATAGAAGAAATGTGAGGAGTGGCCACAGTATTGGGAGGCAGAAGAAAACAAAGTTTGAAATAGTAGCTGTGGAGAATGGAAGAGGGAGTTTTAAAAATACACATGAAAACACACTAGACATGACAAATATATGTGAAAAGAAAAAACAAAGACATATGGCCCAGTTAACTGTGTCATTTTTGTGGGAAGAGGAAATTTAAAGGCCATCTTTTAAGATAAAGGCCATCTTTTAAGATAAATTACTTAGACATATGACAGCATGAAGGAATGCCAAACTAGACCCCCCTCCTCCCACCCCCACCCCCCACCCCCAGAGCACAGGTTGTCTGGAAAAGGTTGACGGTCAAAAATTCAACTACTGTATTCAATTAACCCATTAACTCTGGCCTTCAGGGAAATTTTAAAAAGAGCCCTTTACTGCAAACAAAGTCAAAACGGATTTTGACTTTATGGTCTGCTCGCTATTTCAATACGAGAAAGTAATATGTGTGATTCATCAAGAAGCAAGCAGTGAAAAAACAAGTGTCGCCCTGACCGGGAACATTAACGCTACATTCCCTGCACCCTCCGCCTCTGGCAATCCCGGCTTCGTTCCCGACCCGGGGTAAGAGGAAAACAAGACCGGGGACACCTGTGTGGCCGGCTTGGGGGGACTCTGCAAATCCTCAATTCGCCCAGCTCCCCACGTTTCCCCCTTAGATGTGTCTCCGCGGTCACCTACCCTCGTCTGCGTCATACATTGTGGCAAATGGTCCCCGAACTCCTAACGCTGGAAATCACAGACAAAAAAGCACGAAGCAACCACCGGCACCTGGAGCGTGAGACAAAGTGATTTCCGCATCCGGCGTTCCCAGAACACTCTGCGTCTTCCGCCAAAGGCCACCTACGTAGCCGATGTAAGGTTCACGCATGCGCGAATGGTAGGTTAGCGTGGTAACGGTTAGAAATGCGCAGGCGCAGATTTTCGGCCAACGCCTCCTATGGCTGATTGCGGGGACCGCAACTACAGTCGGATGATCGGATCCAGCCAATAAAGGTTTTGTTTGTTTTTCAATGTTGTTACACAAATAATGACACCTGCAAAAAAAGATATCCAATATTTAATAAACAGTTTAAATTGCGCTGTAAATCCGCGGCATTTATTGCTCTAGGTTTTGCACTTTTAAAGCCAAAAATCAATGCTTTTTAAAACGTGACTATGGGCGGGTTGTGCCAGCAGTGGCGCGTTGAGGAAGCCTGAAAGTGACAAAACCTTCACTAGCCTCTTTAGCCCGGCGAGCACAATCTAGATCCTGGAACCTTTGTCGCAGCTTTAAGCGGGCTCTCGAGCCTCGGAGCCCTGATGGCGAGAATTAACGGGATTAGGAGCAGGAGGAGGAGTGAAGTGCGGCGGCTGACTAATGACAGCGTGTGGTAGTCCCGGGCTTTAGTCAGCATTCACGCGCGCGCCTCTTGGGTTCAGTGCGCGTGCGCGCACTTGGCTCCGCCTCTTAGTTCGGGGGCCACGTTCCCCATGCTGCCTGCACGCCTCACCCGCAGACTGCTCTGGCCCTCACTTCGGGGATTAGCTTCCACGGCAGCGGGCCATGGCTTTCTGGCAGCCGCTTCCGGGAAAGAAAAATAACGGACGCCATTTCCTCCCCGCCATCTTCGGGCTCTGAAAAAGGGGTTCCCCTTGGGCCAGAGGGCGATTTCTCCCCCTAACGACGGAGGAAATGAGTGAGCAGTTTTG